ATAATAACAACTATAAACAGAACCCCTAATGTCTGCTTACAATTTTTCTTCTAGTCCTAATCTGAGCCTTGTCTCTATAAACTTAACTGAACTAGCGTTTCGGTGTGTGCAAAAGCTTCCAGGCACGCGCATTCCTTGCCCCGTTAGTTACCTGTCCTTCCAAAACCAAACTAGCAGTCAAGGACAAAAAGTCATACACCAAATGGGCATTATATTTTATGAATTGTTTTACATCTTTTTATTCTGTAAAAATGTGCTAAAATTAAATTTCTTGTTTCATTGAATTTCTTGTTTCATTGATCCGTGCCCTTTAACCAATGTTGTATCATAATTGTTAGATTGACCTAATCTACTATATTTCAGACCAAGGAATGATAATTAGACAACTGCAGTTAACTAAGTCACACAAAATGTGACATTTGAACCATTATAGTGAATACATTATAGTGCCTAACAACAATAGATTTTCTATCTGAGCAGTGCATATGGGAGTATGGGTTACGTGGCTAATGTTCAGAACTTCTGAACGTGCTAGGTTAATATATGTCAGAATTAAGCCACTATCGTCGAAAACGCTATCATTTTCGTTTACCAATATCCTCAAACTCAAATGAACGTGTCCATATACATTGTTTGTAGTATATTATTTGTAATTGTAGCGAGTTATCGGATGTTTTATCTTTGAGCGAGGCTATCTTTATAGGAGTAGTCAAGAAGCTTGAGTTTTGGCGCTATGACGTGCTCCAGATTTTAGAAGATCTAAATATAAAATCTTTTAATATAATGGGAATTGAGCAGTGAGATCGGTTTCCTTTCTACATGATAACTCATATTGCTGGTGCAGTGATGTTAGGCGTCTGAGTTTGGGTATTTTAGGAGCACTCTCTTTGGGAGACCACTGTCCAATTATGATTTCAAATGATATTATGTTAAAACAAGCTGCGGGGAAGGTTTTGATAGTCAGCTTAAATAAATTGCGACTACATAAAATCACTGAGACAAGAACAACCATAAATAAGGAGTGACAACAAATAATTTGAGTGTTCACTAACATTTACATTATTTACATTGCTGTCAATCGATATTATTACGTAAGCCACCTAATTTTACATACCAGCAAATTCATGGAAAAAACGACACTTCAAACCTCAAAAATATGATTAACAATCGAAACCAGAAACAGCTGCTTATAATGAAGTTGCACTGCTGAAAGATGTATGAAACAGTGATAGTGAAAAATCGTGATTGATAGAAGCTGGAGTAGAGTTGAATGGTGAAGGTGTTCTAAGTGTACGTATATGTACCTTGTTTTTGATGAAGCTTTAGTGGGAAACGAATGGATGGAGATATCCTGATCCGGTAGATTTCCCCAAAATGGTCAACCCAAAAAAAACTCGGCAGTAAACCTGAAATTGTTAACGAAAGCACAAATTGACCATTGGCGATGAACTTTAAGTTTTAATCACTCGAAATTAACATGCTATACCTTTAATCATGAATCACAGACTTATAATCGAGTAAATAGTGTAGTCAAATATGAAGTATAGAATAACTGAATAACGTTAACTGACCTTGAAGCAAACTACTGAGGATATAGAACCAGCGCAGCACTCCTGATAGCAAAACCAATTTTGCAATTTATCCAATGCGAAAATACGCATTAACAGTTAAATGAAAAAAGTTTGGGCGAGCGATTTAGTGAGAGCGAGCGCGATGCGTTACTGTGCCGCGCCACGCACTCAATGAGGCTTCTTACAGCTCTAGATCGGCGAGATGCGCTATTGTGCCGCGCCGAGCTGAGATGAATTGACATCGTCAATTAACAAAATGCGCTACTGGGCCTCGCCGAGCTTTACCTGGGGACCTCAGGCTATCATGTTCATAAACATATAGAGATTAGGCGGAATGACAGGCCGAGCTGCGAAGAATTGACATCCGACATCGTCAATTAAGGGCCTGTGTCCGAATTATCAAAACCATCCCCCTCTATTCCCCCGGACGTCCGGATTTCCAGCTACTTTTAAAAGTACAAATAAAACCAACTCAAATGTATTCATTACCTGGGGACCTCAGGCTATTTATGTGCACGTTCATAAACAATAAACATATAGAATAGAGATTCGGCGGAATGACAGGCTGAGCGCGGCCTAGTAAATGTATTCATTGTTAATCAAACATCAAATGTGTAGTTACTGAAAACAGAAAACTTGTAGTGCGATGCATTACTGGGCCGCGCCGGCCACTCAATTATTCTTCTCGCAACCTCTAGATCGGCGAGATGCACTACTCATGGGCCTCGCCGAGCTACGATAAATTGACATCGTCAATTAACTTAAATTATACAATAATACGGCTCTTACTTACATGGGGACCTCAGGCTATAATGTTCATAAACATAGAATAGAGATTCGGCGGAATGACAGGCTGAGCGCGAGTAAGTGCTTTGCGATTATTTCATTCATTAATCCGGTGTGATAGCCTTTTAATAAATAAATGGCTTAACAATGGCTTGATTACGGGGGGGGGGGGGGGGGGGGGGGGGGGGTTAAACTTAAACCTTGATTACGTAATATAATTATAGGGGGGGGGGGGGGGGTTCGGTCTTGATTACGGTTGATTACTAGAGGGGGGGAGGGTAAAAATTGCCAAAATATTGATTACGTAATATGTGAACGACCCCTAACCCTAACAGTAACAGTAACCATAAACCCAAAGCTACCCATAACCCTAACCACAACCCTAAACAACCAAATTCAACCCCTAAAGGCCTAAATAATCAAATTCGTGTTTTACTAGCGTGTCACGTGACCAAAACAGTTTTTTGCCCATAAATTTCCAGGGAAGCATTTTTGCCTTACGTCATGATAAGGCATGATATGAGGGGTGATTCGGAATCAGCGTCCAAAAATACACCGGGACAGATTTTATCTATAGTACCTTCAGGGCCTTTTCACAAGAATTTTCTTAAAATTTGGGCGAGCGATTTATAGTGGGAGCGCAATAATACATTTACTGTCTAGTCAGTGCAGTGTCACTGTCTGCTGTCACGAACATGTAATTACCTTAGTACAGAATATTTGTACGTCACGAGTTTTGTACGGATATTTTTTAATCGGCATTAATTTTATACGATTGCATCAATCTCCCAAAGAACAGAAAAAAATCCGTTTAGTGACTAGAGAATAGAAATATAGAAATTAATCAATCAGTGTAAGACGAGAAAACGGATCCACTAAGCCATTAGTGTCCATTATGTTCTGTGCGTCTCTTAATGATTTTACTGCTTTCCAAATTCCTGCAGCTTTCCACCCTTGCAGAATGTTTTGTTTGCCTTCTGGTCCCTGAAAGTAAGCAAACGCTTTCGTGATAGTCTTTGCGTGCAAATTTCGTAGAATAGGCTTTCCTGTGTTAACTTTAATGTCATCTATTCGCGGAGAAATCTGAAGACATCTAATAATCTCAGCACTGATATATTCTGCACTGTCATCTTGCTCGATTCGTTTCAATGTACGGTTTACCGTCAGATCAAGAGGAGAAAGCAAATGGGTGAGGTTCTTAGGTACATCACTAGCAACTATATTCAATGATGGCAATAGGTTCTGTACTTTAGATGCAGTATGACCACGGAAATCATCCCATATTAAGAGTGCCTTTTGATTTTCTAGGAGTCCTAGTTTCTTGATAACTTGATCAACATACGGCTTGAGAATGGAAAATTTATACGACACAAAATTTATAACCCATAAATTTTATACGACATAAATTTTATACGAAAAATCGGAATTCGTATAAATATTGTGATGTATAAATATTGTGTACTAAGGTAGGTCGGTCCGACATAATTTCATGTCCATGATATAAAGCTATAACTCACAGAGAATATGTAGTTTAGGCTTACCTTTCATATATTTATAACGTTAGTCTCATTCAAAAACATATTGATATTTGACCAATTTATTGGCCAAAATTTATCACATGCCCAAATATGGACATATAGGTTTTGGCTCATAACTCAGTCATTTTTAGTATAATCTGGATGAAAATTCATATACGAGTTCAGGAGACCACTAGTATAGCTACAAATAGTTAAATAGAACACCTAAAACATAGCTTTTGGACATGTTATGTCCCGTTCGACCTATAAGGTTCGATCAAGTTACATATTCTTGACAAGTTTAGCACAGTCTAGTTACATTTAAGTACTTGTTCCCAGGAAATCTTACTGGCTGGGGCTTAACTTCAAAAGTAAAAGAGATAGCGACTTCCGGTTTTTAAATGTTCGTTTTGTAAAAGTAACGTTTCCTCCCCAGGAGGAAAATTAGGGAAATTGTAGATTTTGAGTTATCTCAAAATCTCCAGAAAAGTCTCATTTTGGGCTGATCTTGACATACGTTGCATGCCACTTTTCTCGCGCGAAGCGCGCGCCGCCGAAGGCATACAAAACATGTATCAAGGCTGATCAAAAGTTTGCAACTTTAACTTTGCGGATTTCTGTACTCTGATTGGCTGAATTGTGTCACGTGCTAGCTGCTTGAACATTGGAATGTGCCACGCGTGCAAATAACTTAATGTCACGTGCGAGCTCAAACCGTCTGTTTAAATTAGACCACCTCTAGTAGTAGTAACACGGCCAGCCAGTAAGGTTTGCTAGGATAACCTGCGCCTATGGTGTTTGAGGTGTTCGCACTAGTAATGATCCCGATATACAGCTTCTTGAATCCTGTATTTTACAGTCAGCTTTACAAGAAGGTGGTACTGATAATCTGGATAAAGTGGAGAGTCGTTGTAAGCTTCTGACACCATTCAGACCACCCAATAATATAATGGTAACTACCCAGAGAACAAATATCCCAGCTTACCCGGAGTACTGCGAATGAAGAAGATAAACAGAAAGCAAAGAAAAGGACAAACGTGTTAGGGATTGCAGTGACGTTATAATTTTATAAATATAACATAGGTACCCGCTGACGTTATTTTGCTAAGCTATACGCACGTTTTGCTCTAGAAACACATATTTTTTCACAAATTTTATTACTCCGAAGCTCTTCAAATATGCTATTGTCAAACTTTGAAAATGATACCAGTCGCTTTAGTGGCTTGTTGGCAGTTAACCTACAATTTGTAGGTTCAAATATGACACGTGTCAAAGAGTTGAGGACAGTTCGGCTTCTGCTGAAAATTAACTCAAGAATGTGGCTTGTGGACAGTGGACACACGTAATGGCTAGAGTTATAGTTATACATATACTATTAAATTATTGATTGCAGTTTATTCGCTTGTTACCCATTTTGTGTTGAAATATACTTTTCGAAAAACTAAAATACATCTTTTTGAAAACTCTTTAGTCATGTTACAAACTAAATGAACAATAATTCATTTCACAATAAAGTCGACCACAAACAATTGATTGATATCCTGTTGACACAAACATTCTATCCTTATTTGTTCCTTCCTAGTTTTGACTGCATTAGAAAGGAACCCGGAGCATGTCTGTAATTTGTTGAGGCTCACCTAGGAGTCCAGTTTTCTCTCTCTATCTCTCTGGTCTCTAATTCTAGTCATGCCAACTGTAGTCTGGTGACTGGTTTGAAGGCAGATAGTGGCTCAAGGTGATCCAATCTTTCATCGTCTTATCACAAACGATACACTACTTAACATCTGAAATGGTAAACAAGTCAGAGAATGTCAGCTACAACTAAGATACGTTTGGAATTTGGTCAGATTATTGACCTAATTATTGGTAAAGTTATTAATATTGGTAATTAACATTGGAAAAAATATTTCGGACGTAAACTAAATCATCATAAATTAGCTCCACGACCACATTTTCCGAGCCCTGAAAAAGGCACCGTTCCTCATCCATTATAACTGAATTCCTACTTTCAGAGCCTAATAGTCGAGGATTAAAGTGCGGAGGCGGTGCAAGTGTAAATGTAACGCCGCAAAGTTCACTTGCCATACTCTTTAATATACAGCTGCTGCTTTATATTGCCCATTGAAATCTCTTCTCTTTCTGCCTACGTGTAATCTGGCAGCGCAGTGGGGCTCACGCTGCAACGAATTTCTATGCGAAGGTGACCCTAACAGACACCCGCTTTGTGGCTACTGGCTACCTTGGTAGTACTATTAACGTAATAAGGTGGGTTCCTTAACACGAGCAAGCCCTCTCAGACAAATACAATGCATTTCTCTCTCTTCGTGCCTCACACACTCTCGATAAAACTACAATAGCCAGGTAGTACTTGACATGTGAGGTGCTTATCTTCTGAGAGATGGACAGAGAGCAGCTCAAGCTGCAATGAATATACATACGAGTGGGACCTTAACACCATTACCCACTTTGTGACAGGGTGATAATTTCAGCAGGAACAATAGATGTGGATACTGGCGGGGAGGTGATCATTGTTTGTTTACATTAATAGGGAACACATGTTCAGGAGGCTGAGGAGGTGATCATTGTTTGTTTACATTTTAGGTGGAACACATGTTCAGGAGGCTGAGGAGGTGTTACATATTTTGTATTATAGAAGGCTTGTAACACATGTAACGCCTTCTTGTTACCCCCCTTTGAGGACCCCGAATTATTTTCTGAACGAAAGCTCAAAAATAACCGAGAAATCGACCTTCTTATTAACTCATTTTGATGACCGTTTCTAACCTAAAATTGCACGAAAAATCGATTTAGCTAGGTTTCAGAACCTATAAACACTTCCTTATCCCTCAAAATCGATGTTTTATAGGTTAGAATGCAAGCAACAAGCAACATATATTTTGATCCTTCGGTTCTACAGCTCTTGACCTAGGGCTGAAACCGAAAGATCGAGGCAATCCTAACCTTAACTGATCGAACTTGAGCGAAGAGCAGAGTACGACAAAACACAGCAGGTAAGCATCTCATTTTATAATGAGAGACATGCTCTACGCTTCTACGGGCTCGTACCTCGTACAACTACATATATTTCTCTCTCAGTCTCTCCTGCCTCATTACAAGTGTATGAGCTATAATGTGCCTCACGCGCAAGGATTCTCTCGGTTAACCAACGATTAAGCTGCGATTAACAATGGGACATTTGTAAACCACTGAAAGCTAAAAGGAGAACGGCAAATCCAGAGATTGTCGCTCTCCTATTGTTTTCTCTGCCTAGCTCTCTCAGATTTTCTAGTTTCCTGTTGGTTTGTGTTATTAATAACCAGTAAATAATATTAAGAAGGGTTTATAGCCTTTATTTTCTATACTGAGGAACACTTCTTAGCCGTTATACTTATATTATACCTGTTACAGCAGGAACACTATATTATATAATTTCTTACCATCCGACTGAGTACTGTGTTTTAATTTATAGTTGTTAGGGATCGTCCCCGGAATCGTTCACATATTAGGGGAGAGAGTTTTTAATTCCAACACAACAGACATTTGGGGGTGGGGGATTAAAATGGCCAAAATCTGTCTCTTTAATTTAATGAACTGTTCAATTCAAAATCGTTTCTTATCCAGGCACAATGACGAAGTTAATGTCCCGATTATTGGTTCTTCTTTTTATGGAACAGTCTCTCTGTGGTAAGTTTTAATGGGAGTTTGGGATGCTGTGATGATTTAACAAATAGTTCTATTAGTATTAGTATATGAAAGGAACTCCTGACCAGGACATGACTAACGAACCTTAAGTAGTGTATAAAAAGTGTTAAACATTGTACCCCTATCCTTTGATAAATCAATAATAGAAGATTGGTAAATCATACTGATAGAAAATGTGCTATTTTACCATTCGTATCTATCTAATGGAAATTCAAACTGTAAATTGAAGAAAACTTAAAACACAGATTACTCCTTTTAGATCTGAAGAACATCGCTCGTGAAGGTACTGCAGAGCAAATCGATAGCTACCAAGTTTGGTCTACCAAGTTCTTAGCTTCAAGAGCAATTGATGGAATCTCAAATGGACTGTAAGCTGTTAATATTAGTACTTAAAAATCATCGAAATTTGTTTTGATGTCACCTACTGACTTCTTTAGTATTATATGTCGTGTCCTAATTCCTATAACAGCGTATATATTTCATGTCATTTCATGATGCTTTTTTAGAGACGCGCCAGCTTGGGACTTCAGTAGAACGGCCACAGCAGGAAAAGCTGCGTGGTGGCTTCTTACACTTCCAAGAATCATCGTTATTCGTGAAATTAAGGTAAAATATACAACCAAATCCGTTTTATACTTAATTCATATCAAATCTACGTCATAGCCCTTCAAAAAATCGCACCGAATGAATTATGATCTAACAATAAAACAAAACGTTCAAATAAGGTATACAACAGAGTGAAACCGGAATATGCCCATAAAATCGAAGGAGTGACGGTTTGGGTTGGTGTCGGTATGACCGGAGGAGACTACGAGGAAGCGGTTAAAGTCGGCACTATTCAATACGTGGCAGGAACAAATATCTATATACTCGCCAATCTGGAAGAAGAAGGATCGAGCGTTCAGATTCAGGGAGGCAGCGAAGTTCTACAACTTGCAGAGGTTAAAGTCTATCGAGAAATAGGTGAGCTAGAAGCCTTAGTCCTTACAGTTTACTGGCAAACAATATATATTTCGACCTCGGACCTACCTGTAGACTTACATTTATTTTTTAGTCGTTTGTAAAAAGCTACTTGCGTTGTCAAGAATCCCCACAATCTCAAACCGGTGCGGTGGAGATATAAAACACAAAGTGCTATACGGCTATAAGGCTCTATTCCCGACCTCCCGGGCATGTGATTGATTTTTAGACACTTCACTCATCCAAATTTCAGACGTTTGTCCTGTAGGATACTCCCTAGAAGTGGGGGATATTAAAGGCTGGGGCACAGCAGAACTGGGAAGTATGTTGGTGATCGGTTTGAGAGAGGAATGTGCTAACAGATGTGACGCTCTGCCTCTCTGTCTCTCTTTTGAACATAGCAACACTGCAAAACTCTGTAATCTCAACAAAATAGCGATGCCTAGTAAATCCCAAAATTACGAAGACTACGCTTTTTGCAGAAAAACCACCGGTACACGTAGTAATATTTTAAAAGCTGTTGCTGACTTTTGAGAATAATCTTAGACCTAATCGGCGCAAGTTTGTCTCCAAAACTGTGAATGATAACAAATTGTTAACAGCAAAAATAGCAATAAAATTATCACATTTAAAGTACAGGTGATAAAATAATATAATTCGAATGAAACATCTTTTTTCTTTAAATACAAAAAGTGCAAGGTTAACAGTGATTATGTTAAACTCTGTATTTTCAGAGTGTACTCCTGGGAATTATATGGATTCTGAAACAGAACAATGCAAAGAATGTCCGCCAGGAACTTTCAACGCAAAAATGGGACGAAAAGCTGAGTGTTCTGAATGCGAAGCAGGGAAATTCAGTGCTGCTGGTTCCTCATCTTGCTCTAAAATAGGTAGGGATAGCAAGAACTTAGTGAATGAAATTAGGTACAAATCAACTAACTGACTGATTGACTTAAGTCCTAACATTTGAGATATGCAATAATTGTTCCTTCCCATGGGGCTGGGTTGGGACAATTATTGCATTTTGCAAATTACATACAATAAAAGAGCTAAGATTTATATTATCTTAATATCTTCTCTTATACTTATAATTCAAAGAATCGTCTTTGTATGTATGTATAGATTGTTTCACAACTCTCAATTCATCTGTCGTCAAGATATTTGCATATTTTAACATATTGTGAGATATTATGATTGATATAGATGAATACATTGATAATATGTTCATCTTATCTAAACACCCAAGCTTAACCAAACATCCAAGCTGTTTTAAGACTTAAGTCTTACAAATACGCAAAATATAGTGAAAAGTGAAAGCCCAAGAAGTCCTCTCACTTCTCAGTGCTGCATGATGACATCACAACTTTATATAACCAAGTTTCTCACCTTCACCAAGATAGCCCACGAGAGGAGAGCATTGAGATGCTCTGCCTACCTCTGGGGTGTGGCAACCCTGGGGAAGGTTGCCGGTGAAATCAGAGTGAATGGTGCTGTGGAGGATGGTGTAAAAAGTGTCAAAATGAAGTTTCTAACCTCTGCTGTCCCTGATAAGCTCGAAAGGTTTGCCAAGTCTGGTGAAGTCCTCATCAGGAAAGAGTCCCTCTAAAAGGTCTGACGTGTAGCGGTCCTCTTCCTGCTCTGCGTCTTCGTACTCAGCGTCCTGGGATATGAGCAACTTGTACTGGAGAAACGCTAATATGAACTTTACAACTTATTAAAGCTTACATTATGTTAGGGGAAAGTTTCGGGAAAAGTTGACCATCGGATTCCAGCTCAACAACAACGTTAAATTTAGATTAAGTAGGATTGATCATTGAGCACAGTGAAGAACAGTTTACCGTAGATCAGATAATACAAAATAACTCAATAAAATCAACATCATCACTGATAATTTAAATACTATTGTCGCCTGCTTTTATGCAGCGTGGATAGTAAAGAAAGTAGGGGACATACGGTTATTAGCAAGATTCTGATTTTATATATTCCCAACGAGGACACCAGTGCATACTCTGAAGGCCATTTAGAAGACATATATTCACAGTCATACAATAGAAGCAAAAATATTAACAGGATGACCAAATAGATAGTTGTTTTTACTATTATATCTTTTGAATCTGAAAATTCGCAGTGTCTTGGCGAAAAGGGCAGCGGCGGCGTCATGACAGAAATTTTCACTATTTTTGCGACCTTGCTTAGCGCATTTGCAATTTGACTTCTGTCTCATCTACAGCTATCTCGCTGCTCATCCTTGACCCACTCCTGATCTCAGAAACATGGAACTACAAACTTGACCTAGCACGCCTTACCGCAGTACTTGCCAGTATCACAAAACTGTGGTTCCAGCGTAACACCTCCACCTGGTACCGGGGCATCCTCAACATGTACAAACAAGGGTTCAGAGCAGCATTTAGGATGACAGGAAGATAGGTTAGGAGCAACTCTCCGTAACCAGCCAGCCTCACGTATATAACACTACCCACTTTGTTATTAAACGATGGGATGTAGTAACTGAGGACTCGTATCGAGTACTCGACGAAGACTGGGATGTTGCAGACGAGGAAGAGGGCGCTGAAGATGGAGATCGTGTTGGAAACCTGGCGAAATCTAGACCTTTTTTTCTTGTCAATGTCCTTGCTCGACAAGAGGGAATGTCTCTTTCTTAAAAGAGTTAAAGTTCCAGCGAGGAAGCTGACAAGAACTATAACTGAGGGTACGAATATTTGGATTTGAACTGAGATTGAATCAAACACTTGAGCCCAAACTGGCATTTCTTCTGAGTAAATGTAGTTGCAACTTGATATGTCCGTTCGGTATCGAGGTAGGAGCCATCCCAAAACCAGAAAAATACCTTCACTTACCAGTAACCAAGCAGCATATCCTGCAGTCACAATCACAACTCTGGATGTCCGGATATTCTTACTGATATGGGGCCAGACAATGGCTACACTTCTGGTAACACTCAATATAACAACCAGAAACATAGACATACGTAGGGAGAAGTTAGCAATGACAGTCCATGACCCGCAGGTTAATAAACTTGAGAACAACACAGCATCTCGTCCGTGGAACAGGGACACTAACACGGGGATCGTTGTGGCACAAGTCACAGCATCCAGGGAGACAATGGTGATGTAGAGTTTGTCGGGCAGTGATTTGCGTCGGTTGGGCCAGAAGTAGAGAAAAGCTAGAATATTCCCTATAGTTCCCAGAGTGAAGAGGATTATGAAAATGCTTCCTAAAACCCGATCATTTCTGGGGTTTGGTTCAAAATGAGTGTCGTTTGTCATCTCTTATCGCCTCCCTAACACAAAGGTACGAAAGCCGCAAATCAGCAGCAGGGAAACTCAACATGGCACACACAGAACATAGGACCCTAAATCAAGCCTCATTTGCGTAATCGTGCTTTCTTGAACCAGAACATGTAATTTATTACACTCTAGAAGTATAGCCCGTTTAGATAATTTCTTAATTCCTCTGAAGGTCAGGAGCATTTAGAGGTACTCCTAGTAGCTGCTGGCATGGAGGACAAGTTTTTAGGACACTTGAACAAATTGGTAACTGTACTTTTTTCTTGTATGTAAAAAACGTAAATCTATTAAATTGTAAACCTCAGACTAACCTGTCCCAGCCAGAAAGACTCCAAGTTAAACTTAGCGCGCTGAACGGGTAGAAAGAAGTGGAGCATGGTGTGGCCCACATCATATGCTTTCCACGTGTGTCCGGTGTTATCTTTCTCATTGTGCTGGTTCATGGCCATGTCGTAGTCGTCACGACACTGTTAGGGTTATTTTTGAAAAAATAAATAAATATTGCTGTCTCTTGACACCACTTTAGGGTTAGACGGGTTGCTGCTAGTTAGTATCAAGTAGATTCAGTTTTCAGAGCGAATTCGGGTGATAATTTAACCCTACATATTTCCCAATAATATAAGTGAGTACTGAGTAACCATAGTAACAAACCATCTTGAAGAAGGATCTTGATGCATCCTTCAGGTGCTTCGTATTGTGTACTGATGTTATGATCACGTGCTCCACATACATTCCCTTCCTTGCCTGAAACATGTTATTTAGGGGCTGGGCTGGGTGTTATTGTTATTATTATATAATCTACTTAAAACACGGTGTAAATATTTAACGATTATTTATTTTAAGTGGACTGAAATGTCGAAGCGAGGATATACTGGTGAGATGTACAGGGTGTTTCAAATGTAATACCTGGATGACTTCAGTATCGAAGCACTTGTAATCCCTGACGAACTGTACCACGTGGTCAAGAGGAATGCCGCTGTCCAGGTCCCGTAAACCTAGCGCTTTCTCCTCCATCACCTGCCTGTCACCCTCTACTGTGTTGTAGTAGATATTGTAATCCACCTCACTTCCTAGAGACTCCACGACCCCTTCCTGCGAAAGTAGAGCCACGTTATAATTTTACAGAACTTTCAGGCTTCTCAGTCGTGAACATTGGACTATTGGAGGTTTAATGGGTATCGGCCTGCACGAATATTTAGTGACAGTTTCATTTTATTCCGTTGATCGCCTAATACGCCGAAGATTTTATAATCTTGAAGTTCATTTACTATTTAATTATTTAACGTATAATTTTCAAACTAGAGAACTGCAATTCCCAAATTCTTAAATCGTCAAAGTTTCAAAAAAATTGGTTAACTTTCAGGCTTAAATGCTTGGTCTTCGTAAAAACCAGACATCTCGAATATTTGCAAAATATAAATTCAACATAACCAGAGTATTAAATTAGGAATAAGCGAACCGTTTCTAGCATGGGAATTTATCCTGGAAGATGTTTGTCACTTTATAATATTAATATGTAGATGGACGATTAAAGGGTAGCCAGCAAAAGATCGAGGTTCGACCGGGTTTTGAACCCGGGACCTTCTGCGTGTTAAGCAGATGTGATAACCACTACACCACCAAACCGACCGACATCTATAAAAATATTTCCCCTGTCGAGAAATCACATGCAAATTCGCAATCTTTGCATTTTTTGTACACATTTAATCACAAGTACCATCTTATACAATGGAAGAGACTCACAATATAATACGACTCGTAATACAGTATGTAACATAAATCGTGATGTCAAGTTGTATAACAATGATTTAAATTTGAGAAGAAAGATTATACCCATTTCTGCTCAAATCAGGTCTTACAATTACTAATCCTCCTCCTCTCCCGTTCAGTATACAAAATAAGCTGAAATCTTTTAAGGTAAACTAGCAGAGTTACAAATCTCTAGAATCTTATCTACCACTGACTGACCTGTTCGGGTACCACAGGTTCGGGAGGAGCAACATCCGAGAAGAGGGACTCCAGATCTCCCATGATGTTAACTGGGACTCCGTCAGAATGTTCCTCCACAGAGCTGACCGCTGATTCACTATGTATCTGAGCTTCAGATTCAGAGTGACTGAGGTCAGACTCGCTCAGATCTAGTTCTACTAGAGCAGACAGTTCTAGTGGTTGAGATTGTTCCTCCTCCTCAACTGTACCCTCATCACGTGACCTCATATCTTGCTCCTCCATTGGAACCTTATCAAAGTCCAGTTTCCCTTTCCCGCTCCCTAACAGTTCATCCCTCTTCATCTGTTGTTGCAGCTCCTCAGCGAACCTTTTCCTTTGTGGCCCTGACACTTTGAACACAGCAGGGGTGGTGTGAAGTAGCCTGGAAGTGAGGGAGGTACTGGAGGTGTGGTGCACACATCTCTCCACCAATCTAGCTCGTAGTCGGAGGAGAAGGGTTATGCGGGACATTTTCCTGGCTGTAATGGGAAGTGAAGGGTTAGGTAGAAACAGTGGAGTTGGTTACGGGTGCCAACTGTCAAGTAAAAACAATTCACGTGTTTGAAGAGTAGAACCAGCTAACTAATTGGTATAGATGATTACAAATTTGGATGGGTGTACAGTAAAATGAAACTCGGTAACTAATTTTATCAAACTTTCATGTATACACTATACATCTTTGTACAATAGGATCTGTGGTCAAATATGATAATTATTTAATGTTATTATAAAATATGATAATACATTTATTTGTTTGCTTAAATCATAAAATGTGTTAACAATATACATATATTATAATATGGTGAATATAAACTGCAATATAATACAATAGTCTGAAATATGCTGAAATATAAACTTCCTAAGTATCATCTGACACTTAATTCTGATTTTATACTATTTTTCATTTTTTAAAGGTTTAATGATTACGGACAGTAGGCTGGAATGTACAATAAATTTGAATTGATCAAAGCTAACATCAAAACTTTCGTTACAGAGATGAATTTGGTCACGAGCTACTACTGCACTGCAGAATTTAAATTTTAAATTTTAAAGATCCCCTCACAGACATGTGACACAACCAACATTACACTTTACACACAGTTATTTTTAACTATTAGAGAGAACAAAACTGAAACTAATATCTGAATTAAAAATATGAAGGTTATCTGGAACTATCTAATATCTGATGCCTTATTCCTCACTAAAGCCTGCTTCACTGTTCCTTGTCATTTAACTGGCGGAAACTGAATCTGGTTCCGATCGTTCTGCGTTCCGAATCTTCCTGTCAATGACACCCCGTACCACGTACAAGCCCTCCACATCTAGACTCGGTAGAAGAGCCGTTATAGCGTTAATAATGGGGGTCTCCACCGATTTTCTTATAATGGACTCAGCTGAAATAAAGGATGTTTAATTAACAAAATTTCGAGGTTCGACCGGGTTTTGAACCCGGGACCTTCTGCGTGTTAAGCAGATGTGATAACCACTACACCACCGAACCGACATCGAAACTTTGTTTAGTTTCTCCAAAAATCGCCGGAACTGACAAAACATTCAGTATATATTCATAAATGATATGAATGAGTACATTTACATTAGAAATTAATACTGAATGTTTTGACAATCCCGGCAGATTTGTCAGAAAATAAACGAGCATTGGATGTCGGTTCGGTGGTGTAGTGGTTATCACATCTGCTTAACACGCAGAAGGTCCCGGGTTCAAAACCCGGTCGAACCTCGTAATTTTGTATAAATAATCCAAACGCGTTTGGTTGTTTGATTAGTTTTTTTTGTGGAGTAGAAGATCTAAAATTAACATCAATGCTGCAACTTAATTGCAAAAGGTCACAGCAAGACAAACAAAATTTCGAGGTTCGACCGGGTTTTGAACCCGGGACCTTCTGCGTGTTAAGCAGATGTGATAACCACTACACCACCGAACCGACATACAAATAACAATTTGCTCATTCCAAAATTTCATGCAAATTTATTGACTGTATTTTTGTGAACCTAAGTAGACTTCAAGATTATTTGGTAATCCAATTCCAATTGATAACATAGCATCCAGCTGAAAATCAAACGGCAAATTTCCGGCACGATCTTACCATCACTAAAAGAGGAATCCACGGAGGCAGCAGATTTCGGTCTTTGCGATTTCTGAAGAGAATGTATCATTAAGTAATTGACATGCATCTATCTGAAAGTAACAACGGATTGTAAACTATCCATACTTGATACAGGTTCATGTTAAGAAAATTAAAATTTCAAAAGTCGAATGTGACAGTCAACCGAAGCCAACGGTGCAGAGCGCCTCAGAAGCGCGGGGACAATCTGGTCGCAAATTTAATGATAAAAACGTATGTGGCAAGAAAAATGCTGTTCGGCGTCCGCGCGGGCAGTATGGCGGTTGACCTAACGCGTGGGAAAATCTCGACAAAGCTCTCTTATCTTTATCATATCATAGTGAATACTGGTAGAAATAAATTAGTATGAAAGCACTTGATACGACTTATGACCCTCACCTTCTTTCTCCTCTGCTCCAGGGAAGCTTGACTGTTGAGATTAGGGGAAATCGCTAGAATTTAAGGTTTTCATTAGAACGTTGAACAAGATCGACAATGGAGTTGGTTGTTGTTCTAAATCAGTGACTAAATTAGCTCCAATATCGTTGCAATCATTAAACCGACCACGTTGGCAGAACGATATCAAAGAAAAATGGGTTACAATCTTACAATCAAGAAAGCAACAAACTGGCACTTACCAACATTATCTAGCTTAACAATGCCTGGCAACAAATCCAGTACCAACTGACGATAATTGTCAGTACAGAGCGGGTTTTCTGTTAACCACAATATCCGTAAGTTAGGAAGTTGTTGCAAGCACTTTAACTCGTCGAGAGATTGTAAGTCATTCTTTCGGATGTACAGTTCGGTGAGTTTAGGGCAGAACGAGAGGAATTTGAGGGTACTAATCTTGTTCACACTGAAGGGGAATAAGATTCAGTTAAATACATTTCATGACCTAACTTCATGAGTGGTATTGTAAGTGTTGGGATTATCAACACAATAAATGGGGCATAATGAACAGTCAGAGACATTTCTAGAAGGACTCAGCATGAACAAACCAAGTAGTTAAACAGCGATTAAAATAAAATCAAATGGGATGAGTTTTCAGTAAGGATATAAGGATCACCTGAAAGTAGCAACTTCTAAGTTAGTCATATACTGGACAATGGAGATATCACTCAGTCCCATTCCCCAGCAATTAATGTGTTTTATAGTGTCCAGAGAAGTTGCTCTACATCGGGACAGTACAAGTTCTTCTGTTAAAACACACATCTCTAGATATTATAATTAGTAGAGTTGTTAGTTTGTGATATAAGAGTTAGGGTTGAAGCAATGGGAAATACTTGAGTGATAAGAGCTTTGCTCAGATTAATGAAGTCACTGTAATCTTAATCGAAATCATCATGGAAATACTTGAGAGGAAAATTTTTCGCTTGTCATGATCGTGGTGCCACATTTTACTTCGATTGACATCATCTTCATAATAGAACAATTGGGGACCTACATCTCATTAAAACTGATCAGACTGAGCACAAAATTTTCAAAGAATTTAGTATAATACATATTTAAAGAATAATCACACTATAAAAAATTAAGAAATCACACTATAAAAAATAAGAAATCACAAAAAATAGAAGCTAATACAATATCAAAAATAACTTTAAAAAGAGTGAACAAGTTTAAAAACGACTTAATTTTAACGGACATTAATTGGACGCTGGAGGCCCTATCATTCATTTTAATGTCCGTCCAAATAATGTCCGTTCAAAATAATGTCCGTTCAAATAACGTCCGAAAAGGTAGTTTATATTGCCTTATACATCAACAGAGGTAATAAAAGATTTCTCTTGTCATCTATCATCGACGTGTCTCTTTTTTACTCAAGTCAAATTGATATGACATGTTCTTAAAAATTTAAGAATACAAAATAATTTTTAGCCTGGAATTTTGTGTTATTATTTTGTCCTCGTGACCACGTATTATCCAAGAATCGTCATCGCCAGACAAATTCGGACGCTTTACCAATTCAGAAATGCTTGCTTTTCTCGATAAGTGGTAACAACACTATAAGTTAGAATTGGAATATCAGATGATGTTGTGGGTTTTTCTAATGATGCTTTGATCTCATGATCCTGAATAGCAGAGATACTCAAGTGGTACAATTTCCGCGCATTTTCAATTTGTTCATCAAGGTAATTATCCCAGGCTCTTTTTACGCCGTAGTTTATTTGTGTGCATTTAAAATCTTTTTCCAGGGGCAAAGTTTCGATGCTAGTTGTTGAATAAACAGGCCGCTTTTTAGGGTTCCTTCCGATACGTTTCGAGAAAATGTGACTTCCTTTACAACTCAAGGTTATATTCTTTATACTGAAGGAATAGTCACCAGAGTTAAAATGTTTCTCTTTGTCAACTATCTCGGGGCAAGAACACAGACTATCTTGAAGAAGATCCAGTATTTCCTCGGGGAGTCCCCACGATTGTATGTATTCACCAGACACAGCATTCCAGACACGAGCTACAGCTAATTGGCTGATTGACCTCGTCCAACTTTCTGACCAGGCATCAATGTAAACTTGATAAGTCTCTAACCAAGTGAAGAGGTAATCAATATAGATGTACAAATTCTTTACCGATGCTTTATTGGATAATTGAGCATGAAGATCAAAAAAGTTATCGGCCTCAATCGATTCAAGAGGGCGAAACAGATATGATCCAATAGTGCCAAATTCTTGTAATTCCTGGCTACCCTGACTAATTTGAGCCACCTGAAATTCTTGGCTTGATCTCAAAGTGTCCATTTGCAACTTTGATATCATCTTCAGATCTTCATGTGTCAATTCTTCTAATTCATTAAGGTTACTGAACAAATCTAAATATAAGTTCTTGTCAGTATGCATGCACTGCACTAAGTCCAATCTTTGCAGCAAATATTTGGCATTGCTAGAAATGGTTTGAGAGTCAGTTAAACTTTTCAGAAGTAACCTTAATAGAGTCGAATTACGATTGCCAGCAAGTGAAATGATCATATCCAGTGTCGAGAGTAGAATGGTGTTGAAATCTACGGTATAATTCAAAATTACCTTGTCGAACAGTCCAACGTAGTAAACGATTTCTCTGATGAGAATCCAAAACTTGTCCTTATTTAAGCCTTTTTTAAAATACCATGATTCATCCACGAATAAGAGCATCTCATCTAGGTCTAAACTCTCGTATCTTGATAAACCCTGGGTGAAGTAGCCCTCACATCTTCCCACAAGCCACTCTACTTCAAACACATAAGCCATCTTATGAACGTCCCTAAAAACCCTCATTCCTAACAAGTCAATACCACCAGAGTAAACACAATCTACAAAACACCTAACTGCTAATTCTTCAAAATCATCAACGTCCAGACTAGTTATTTCCAGGGTAGAAATGAGTTGCTCAATCACAGGACTATTGAAAGAAAGAATGAGTGAACTGACTTTCATCTCTCCACCACCCTTCATGTTGAGAGTCATGTTACTGTGGGTTCTAGAGCCGATGTGGTGTCGTCCAAAATCCATCGGGACCTGCACCAGTGGTGCTGCCATAATTACGTTACCTACGGAAGAAGATTATTTAATTGCAATATTATTGTTTCTTTGATTGATTCATTATCTATAATATTATCTATAATATGATAAAATGTATGAGTACCTGTATGGTATATTATCGTCATTAAAACTGATAAGACTGAGCAGATAATTGTCACAAAATTGGTATAACATTTTTTCAATAATCCCGGTTTTTTCATCATTAAGTCAAAAATAAAGTTATTTTGCCAGATAAAAAGTTCTAAAAATTATCAAATCTACAATCTACATTAATAAATTACATTTACTGTCATGCCAATCTTCAAGCGTGCAATAAGTTGCTATTATAATATATCATTTACAATTTATATATTTGGTACTTTTTGTACTAACTGACTTCAAAAAGCTAATATACGATATCTATTATTATTCTATCTTTATATCATACAATAAATAACTGTAAAAACATCGAAAAAGATTAAAAATTAGTCACGAACTACTAAATTAAAGTTGAGGTCTGCAATAGTCGTGAAACTGAGATAAAATCTTAAAATCTGAAATTTGCAGCACTTTATCAAAATCAACCAATATGAAAGGCCTTATTTTATATTGGCTTTTACATCAATACAACAGGGATAATTTAAACGACTTCATGTCATATAATATTATCTATGTATTTTTCCTTTATTGAAACCAAATTAACATTGATAGGAGTTGAGGAATTGCATGATTTGCTGTTAAAATTAAGAAAAGTCTAAATTTTCAAGAAACTGGTACATGCTAAAAATACAAATAAATCAGTACCTAACTAAGTAAACCTTTCAGCAGTTCCTTCAATTTCTGATCAAGAATACAAAACAAGATCCAGCCACGAATCTTCAGCTATTATTTTATCTTCGAGACCACGGAGTGTCCAAGAATTACCATCACCAGACAGATCGGGGCACTTAATCAATTCACAAAAGCTTGCTCTTCTTGATAATTTGGAAGGTCTGCGAAAAGTGTTAAAGCTAAACGATAAATCTTTGACCTTATGATTCCTAATTGCAGAGACACACACATGGCACGATTTTTGTGCATTTTCGATTTCTTCATGATCATCATCCCAGGCTTCTTTTACACGGTAGTTTATTTGCGTGCATTTAAAATCATTTTCAAGAGGCAATGTTTCTATGCTAGTTGTTGAATAAATTGGCTCTTTTTCTGCGTTCTGTCCCAAAACTTTTGTGAAAACATGGGTTGCTTTACGACTCAAGACTATGTCTCTTATAACGAAGGCATGTTTACACAATTTACCATTTTTCTCATTGTCAACAATCTCGGGGCATGAGCACAGATCATCTTGAAGAAGATCCAGTATTTCCTCGGGGAGTCCCCACGACTGTATGTATTCACCAGACACAGCATTCCAGACACGAGCTACAGCTAATTGGCTGATTGACCTCGTCCAACTTTCTGACCAGGCATCAATGTAAGCTTGATAAGTTTCTAACCAAGTAAATAAGTAGTCTAAATAAATGTATAAATTCTTTACCGAAGCTTTATTGGATAAATGAGCATGAAGATCATAAAAATTATCCGCCTCAATCGATTCAAGAGGGCGAAACAGATACGATCCAATAGTTCCAAATTCTTGTAATTCCTGAGTAATGTGAGTTGCCTGAAATTCTTGACTTAATCTCAAAGTTTCCATTTGCAATTTTGATATCATCTTCAGATCTTCATGTGTCAATTCTTCTAATTCATTAAGATTACTGAAGAGATCTAAATATAAGGTCTTGTCAGTATGCATGCACTGCACTAAGTCCAATCTTTGCAGCAAATATTTGGCATTGCTAGAAAGGGTTTGAGAGTCAGTTAAACTTTTCAGAAGTAACTTTAATAGAGAAGAATTGCGATTCCCAGCTAGTGAAATGATCATATCCAGTGTCGATAATAGAATGGTGTTGAAATCTACGGTATAATTCAAAATGACCATGTCGAACAGTCCAACGTAGTAAACGATTTCTCTGATGAGATTCCAAAACTTGTCCTTTTTCAGGACCTTTTTCATGTACCATGATTCATCCACGAATAAGAGTATCTCATCTAGGTCTAAACTCTCGTATCTTGATAAACCCTGGGTGAAGTAGCCCTCACATCTTCCCACAAGCCACTCAACTTCAAACACATGAGCCATCTTATTAACTTCCCTAAAAACTCTCATTCCTAACAAATCAATGCCACCAGAGTAAACACAATCTACAAAACACCTAACTGCTAATTCTTCAAAGTCATCAACATCAAGACTAGTTATTTCGAGGGTAGAAATGAGTTGCTCAATCACAGGACTATTGAAAGAAAGGATGAGTGAACTGACTTTCATCTCTCCACCACCCTTCATATTGAGAGTCATGTTACTGTGGGTTCTAGAGCCGATGTGGTGTCGTCCAAAATCCATCGGGACCTGCACCAGTGGTGCTGCCATAATAACGTTACCTAAGGAAGAAGGTTATTTCATTGCAATATTATTTTTTCTTTGATTGACGTCATTATCTATAATATCTCTACTATAATTCAGAGAATTGTTTTTGTTGTATGTACGACCGCCCACGTGCACATTAGATGAAAAATAGGAATTTAGGTAACAACCAAAAGGTTCCATAGCAAAGGTGTTTTAAAGTTTTAATGCATACATGCACGTGCAAAGATTGTTTTAACGTCATTTTGATCGGTTTTGTG